ACTGTATTTTGCAATGGGAGAAGAACATGAGATCTGGGGGGCAAGGGTTGGAATGATACAGTTTACATCTGTGTCCCCATCAAGTCTCATGTTGAATTGTAATCCCTGGTGTTGGAGGTGAGGTGTGGTGGGAGGTGACTGGATCATGGGGGTGGATTTCTTACGTAGAGTTTAGCACCATCCCCACTTGGTACTGCTTTCATGACAGTGAGTGAGTTTTCATGAGACCTGGTCATTCAGAAGGGTGAGACATAGCCCTCTTCCCTCTCTCTTGCTCCTGCTTCCACCATGTGAGATGTCTCACTGCCCTTTGCCTTATGCCATCACTGGAAGCTTGCCAAGGCCTTCCTACAGGCAGAAACCACTATGCTTCCTATACAGCCTGCAGAACCATGAGCCAACTAAACCTCTTTTCTTTATAAATTACCCAGTCTCAGGTGTTTCTCTATAACAATGTGAAAATGGAATAATACAGAGGGCTTATGATTTTATTTTTACTTCTCAGATTATGTTTTAGTAGAAGAAAAGAGCTAAGTGAGCCGAGTGCGGTGGCTCACACCTGTAATGCCAGCACTTTGGGAGGCTGAGATGGGTGAATCACAAGGTAAGGAGTTTGAGACCAGCCTGGCCAACATGGTGAAATGCCATCTCTACTAAAAATACAAAAAATTAGTAGGGCATGGTGGCGTGTGCCTGTAATCCCAGCTACTCAGGAGGCTAAGGCAGGAGAATCGCTTGAGCATGGGAGACAGAGGTTGCAGTGAGCTGAGATCATACCACTGCACTCCAAACCTGGGCAACAGAGTGAGACTCCCGTCACAGAAAAAGAAAAAAAAATAGAAAAGAGCTAAGTGTAGCTGTGGCAGGCCAGGTCTCACTAACACAGGCTTCTGTTACAACTGTCTCAGCCCTGACTGAGTAGTTAGGTTAAATATTAAAAGCTAATTGAGCCAGTGCCCTTGTAGTGGGACAAGCCACAGACAAAACCCCTCAGACACTGAGTTAAAGAAGAAAGCGGTTTATTCAGCCGGGAGCGTCAGCAAGAATCCTGTCTCAAGAGCCGAGCTCCCTGAGTGAGCAATTCCTGTCCCTTTTAAGGGCTCACAACTCTAAGGGGATGCGCATGAGAGGGTCGTGATTGACTGAGCAAGCAGCGGGTACGTGACTGGGGGCTTCGCGCACCGGTGATTAGATTGGAACAAAACAGGACAGGGATTTTCACGGTGCTTTTCCATACGATGTCTGTAATCTATAGATAACAGAACCAATTAGGTCAGGGGTCGATCTTTAACTACCCGGCCCAGGGTGTGGCGCTGGGCTGTCTGCTTGTGGATTTCATTTCTGCCTTTTAGTTTTTACTTCTTCTTTCTTTGGAGGCAGAAATTGGACATAAGGCAATATGAAGGGTGGTCTCCTCCCTTACCCTCATACAAAGCCTGGAATGTAACAAAGAGCCCACTAAGAGTTTCTCCTAGGCCTTTCCTGGGCCTTGAAACATGACAAGATAATGAAGGAATTCTTAACAGGACCCTTTTAGGATTAAACAAGTTTTTTGGGGGGTCTGAAGAAACTCCTCACACTACCACAAGTAAGTTTATTGAGGGTCTAAAGGAACTCCCCAAGCCTCCATGATTTAGCAGGAGATAAGGGTAATCACCCCAGCACCTGGACCCATTTAGTTTAAATACATTTCTGAGGCTCCAGAGAAGATTTTCAGGACTCAGATCTTAGTTAATAGATTAGAAGTTAACCACTTACGTCTTTACATGAATGCACACTTACACATAGACATAGAGCTTAGAAGGTATATAAGCTTTGGAAAACCTTGTAATTTTGAGTTGGTCTGGTGATAATTTCCAGGTCTTCTCCCTGTAACTGGTTACAAAAATAAAAATTCTTTCCTCTCCCAGTTCGTCCGCATCTTGTTATAGGTGATGAGAACAAGCAGCCCGACCCTCGTTTTGGTCTGGGAGCATAGTCATGGCTTAGATCACTGCAGTGGAACAGAAAAGGCTAACTATAATGATAGTTATATATAGATCTGAAGCTGCTTTACTTGAAATGTCTCTGAACTGGCTGATATGTAGGACAATCCTTTACATGTTCTAGATTGTAAAAGAAGATAAGAAAAGAAAAATAGCTCAGAGCAGTCTGAGCCATGTGAGGTGTGCAAATTTTATCAGGCCCCCAGTGACACAAGTGTGGGACTTCAATCATGCTCTCTACACCTATGCCTGGGGGCAGTTGTTTAAAGGCATCTAGAAATCCTTTCCACCAACTGCCCTGTGGACTCAGAAACTGAGTTTCCAACTATTAGCCTTCGTTTTTGTTTATTTTCATAGAAAATTCCCCTCATTAAATGCCTGATGGCTAGTACCATCTAGCAGACACCCTCTACTACCAAGTCCCAACTGGGGATTCCACTGGCTTTAACTGAATGAGAAAAGGGACTTAGATTGTTCAAAGCAGGGAACTGACTCGATTTTGAGCACTCCATTTCCCCTCTTGACTCTCCATGCCCTGGGGACATTTTGGTCTGAGAGCCCTTCTCTCACTTCAAGAATCAGATTCAGAACCAAAGACTGAGCTTGTTTGTGGCAGCAAGGCTGATGGCCCATGCATCTGGGGCACTTCCTTCTTCTCCACACCACCCCTGTTCAACTTTCTTCTGGGGGAAACTTCAGAACATTTCAGTCATGTGTCTGCTGGGAGGTACAAGGAGGCTTGATTCCTGAGCCCTTCCAGGAGGACAGGAAGGCTTCTTCCTAGGCCTGCAGGGATGGTCTCTCTGCCCTCCACGACCTTGGCTGGGTCTTGACAGAGAGTGTGGATCTTAATTAAAAAAAAAAACAAAAAACTATCCCTTTTCATAATCTTTTTTTAAAAAAGAGTAAGGTGTTTGTTTTTAAATTTTTGTTTCTCTGTAGGAGACTGAGGATCTAGGATTCCCCTGGAGGAAGCAGGGGCATTCCTTCTATGATTGGTGCCCTCAAGTGGACACACACATATACACACAAGTACATGCACATACATGTGCAGACACACACACAAAGTACATGCAAATATGTGTGTAGATACACACACACAAGTACATGCACATATGTGTGCAGATACACACACATGCACACACAAGTACATGCACATATGTGTGCAGACACATGCACACACAAGTATATGCACATAAGTGTGTGGATACACACATGCACACACACCTGTGGGATATGATGAGGTTTCTCTTCAAATAATCTGATCAATATTTTATTCTTTAAATCATAGTACCCAACCCACATCTGTGTGAAGAGACCACCAAACAGGCTTTTGTGTGAGCAACAAGGCTGTTTATTTCACCTGGGTGCAGGTGGGCTGAGTCCGAAAAGAGCATCAGTGAAGGGAGATGGGGTGGTGCCATTTTATAAGATTTGGGTAGGCAGTGGAAAATTACAGTGAAAGGGGGTTGTTCTCTGGCTGGCCGGGGTGGGGGTCACAAGGTGCTCAGTGGGAGAACTTTTTGAGCCAGGATAAAGGAATTTCACAAGGTAACATCATCAGTTAAGGCAGGAACAGGCCATTTTCACTTCTTTTGTGATTCTTCAGTTGCCTCAGGCCATCTGGATGTGTAAGTGCATGTCACAGGGAAGATGATGGCTTAGCTTGGGCTCAGAGGCCTGACACCCCCTTTCTCCTTTTTTCCTTTTTGCCTTTGTTAGATGCCCAGGCATGCCACAGTACTAGGCGTTATCAGTACCAGCTCACATTCCTTTTCTTATTTGGAAAGAGGACTAACTTTCTAGTTCATTACAGACACCCCTTCCCCTTCCTCTCCACTTTCTTTTTTTTTTTTTTTTTTTTTGAGACAGAGTCTCACTCTGTCGCCCAGGCTGGAGTGCAGTGGCGCAATCTCGGCTCACTGCAAGCTCTGCCTCCCGGGTTCACGCCATTCTCCTGCCTCAGCCTCCCGAGTAGCTGGGACTACAGGCGCCTGCCACCACGCCCGGCCATTTTTTCGTATTTTTAGTAGAGATGGGGTTTCACTGTGTTAGCCAGGATGGTCTCGATCTCCTGACCTCATCATCCGCCCGCCTCGGCCTCCCAAAGTGCTGGGATTACAGGTGTGAGCCACCGTGCCCAGCCTCCACTTTCTTTTACTTGCCCACCTTATCTAAAAAAATCAAATGTTTAGCCAAGTGGGATTAGTTTAGATTGTATGACCTGACCCCGGCCAATGGGAAAAGGTACAGGGGCAGGACTTGCGTCAGGAATAAAGGCTCTCGTGCCCCTTTGTTCAGGTGTGCTCTCATGGTGACGGGCCAATGAGGCACCGTTCTGTGCAGAAATAAAATTGCTTTGCTAAGAATCTGTTGTTCGAGTTGTAGCAAGACAAGCCTCAGACAAAACTCCTCAGACACTGAGTTAAAGAAGGAAGAGGTTTATTCGGCCGGCAGCATTGGCAAGACTCCTGTCTTAAGAGCCAAGCTCCCCAAGTGAGCAATTCCTGTCCCTTTTAAGGGCTCACAGCTTTAAGGGGGTCCATGTGAGAGGGTTGTGATCGATTGAGCAAGCAGGGGGTATGTGACTGGGGGCTGCATGGACTGGTGGTCAGAATGAAACAGAACAGACTGGGAAGTTTCACAATGTCTTTCTATAATCTACAGATAACATCAGTTGCTAGGTCAGGGGTCGAATTTTAACTACCAGGCTTAGGTCAGGCAGGCCCAGGCCTGGTTTCAGGTCTGGTTGCTTGCTTTCAGATCTGGTTCGTAGGTGCCGGGCTACCTGCCTTTAGTTTTGCTTCTCTTTCCTTTTCTGAATATAAAACAATATGAGAGGGTCTGTCTCTCTTCTCTCAGAGTGTTCAATTTCCTTAGGATTTTGAGTTTTATTCCTCACACACCCTTGAAACCCCCTACACTCACACAGATACACACACGGAGGGCACCCATGCATGCAGGCATGTAGCACATGTGAACACATATATACACATGTGTGTTCCTGTCTGGCTTTCACCTCTGGGGCTACAGAGATTGGAGGAAATCAGGAGAGGAGACAGGGGGAGCCAAAGGAGAGTATCGAGCAGAGGAGAGGGGTCCGTTAGGAGAAGAGGCCACACTTCCCAGGAGACCAGGGAGCTCCCTTTCCTGCTGCGACTCTCTAAAATCCTATGTTTATCTTCTTGGACTTGGGAATCGATTCTCCAGTAGTGAAACCAGATGGTCTCTGGTTTCAGATGGATCTTTCTGGGGGTTGGATTCCTGTGAAGACTTGAGCTGAACATATGAGTTCTCTGTGGCCCTTCTGGACTCTTCTTGCCTTCAGTAATAAGGGAAGAATGAGGTATACACTCGGGGTTCAGATTTGTATGGAGACGAAATTTATTAGAATGGGAGGCAAAAAACAAAAAATGGAGGGGATCAGTGCAGGAAAGAACCATACATGTTGACGTCCCCCGAACACTTACAGAACTATCCCCTGTTCTTCCTCATCTATAGTCATGAAACTGGTGGGTTTGTTTAATTAGTTATTTGTGATCTCCTTACACTCTCGGAGAATGTAAGGGGTCAGCAGATTTCCGCTGAAGCCACCTCAGAGCTGGGGTGTGCAAATGTGTGGTGACCACATTTGTCTTCTTGTGGCTATTGAGATAAAGTTTTATTACTAGAGACTTACTCATTCTTCTTGCAGACTAGGGCTTCTCCCCTGTGTGTGTCCTCTGGTGTCTGAGGAGGTTTGATGTGGTGACCATTTGTCTTCTTGTGGCTATTGAGATAAAGTTTTTATTACTAGAGACTTACTCATTCTTCTGCAGACTAGGGTCAGTGTGTCCTCTGGTGCCTGAGGAGGCTTGACTTATCGTTAAGCCCGCCACACCCCTGCAGACGGAAGCCTCCCCCTGTGTGTGTCCTCTGTGCCTGAGAGGCTTGATTCTCCTGCCAAGTCTCGCCCACACCCCTGCAGACGTAGACTTTCCCCGTGTGTGTCCTCTGTGTTCATGAGTGAGGCTTGACTTCCGGCAAAGCCCCGCCCCACCCCGGCAGACGAGCTTCCCCCTGGGTAAACCTCTGGTGTCTGAGGAGGTTTGACTTAATGCGTGCCTCGCCCACACCCCCGCAGACGTAGGACTCTCCCTGTGTGTGTCCTCTGTGTCTGAGGAGGCTTCACTCAAGCAAGTTCCCGCCTGCACACCCCTTCGGCAGACGTGGTACTTCTCCCCTGTGTGTGTCCTCTGTGTCTGAGAGGCTTGACTTCGGCTAGCCCCGCCCACACCCCCGGCAGATGTAGGACTTCTCCCCTGTGTGTGTCCTCTGGTGTCTGAGGAGGCTTGACTGCTAAAGCACCGCCCCACCCTGCAGACGTAGGGCTTCTCCCCTGTGTGTGTCCTCTGGTGTCTGAGGAGGCTTGACTTCCGGCTAAAGCACCGCCCACACCCCCTGCAGACGTAGGGCTTCCCCTCTGTGTGTGTCCTCTGGTGTGTAATAACATCTGACTTATCACTGAAACCTTGCCCACACTCCCCATGCTTGACTTTTTCAATTCTTGAGATTTCTACCCCACAAATAATTTGCCTGTGTTCCCTGGATTCGCTTTCTGGCCTGTTCTGGACTCTTCTGCCATCATTCTTTCTCCCACTCTAGAGCTCCCCATTTGTCCTTTGGGTGGGCTAGTAAAAGCCCTTAGAATCTCCCTCTGCCATGTCCTTTTATTCAAGAGTTTGGACCTTTCTTTGATCTCTTGACCTTTGGTTTTGTCATTACAGCTGGATGGATCAGAATATTGCTGCTCCTGATTCTGATCCCCTGGGCAGGGATTCTCTGATTGGAGGAGTTTTCTTGCAGATGGTCCTGGGAAGTTCTGAGAGGAGTGATTGCGTTCCACATGTTGACAGAAATTTCTGACTTGAAAAGGCCAGACAGCATGAGGGACATGGATAGATCTCTGGCTTTGGTTCTGAAAGAGGAAGTTTTTGGTCAGGGCAGACGTTTTGTTCAGGCCTTACCACATACAAAGGTATGAAGATCAAATGAAAACCAGTCATTCTTCATATGTTAACAATGCAAACTCTCTCCTAGCAAGTGCTGGATGGACCTTTACAGTCCATTTTTCCATTCTACTTTTATTCACTACATCTTAAAAAATTCAGAAATCCCACATCTTGGGCCTTTTCTACACATCAGCCAGACGAGGTAAAACCTCAAGCAGCACCAGGGGCAGCGTCATTTCTTACATAGATGGAACTGCAGTGACCTTCCCCCACAAGTCCTATAGTCTTCCCTGATCACCCTCTGCTACATCCTCCCTCCCTGGTCCCTGGGCACTTTTGCTGACACGAGGTCTTCAGTTATTTTATTCTACTGAGAAATAACACTCTTGGTGACTTAGGTGAGATTGTCCTTAGTGACTTCCTAAGAGGGGAAAAGGATCTATTAGGAGCACTCAGCCTGGAGATCCACAAATGTGGTTAAAGAGAAGATGTGTGAGCAAATCTGAATTTGAGTCTCCTCATTCAAAAGGACATATTTAATTGAGGACTGTTATGTGCCTGGTTGTCCATCACGAGGTGGGATTCAGGTTGGCCAACACAGAGTGGTCCAGGTCCCACTGACTAAAAGACTCGGTCCTGCTGCCCCAACTAGGTGCATGAACTGCTTCTATTTCAGATTCCACAAATCATAAAATGAGAATATGCTCTTTCTCAGGCTGCACATCAAGTATTCATGTTTGAGTTATTTCATTCAGTCTGAGCCCATTTCAAAAACAATAGGAAGTCTTGTTTCAAAATATATCCCTGCTCAGGCTTACCTCCGTGCTCCCCACCTTCATCCTGCCCACCATTCTCTCTCACCTAGAAACTGGAGCAGCTCTGAGGGGATGACCCACCGCAGCCTGTTTTCCAAGAATGAACCAAAGCTGAACTATTTCTGGCCTCAGGACCATTGCACTAGCTGCGCCCTGTGCCTGGAACTCTTGGCCCACAGGCACTTGCACTTCTCAAATGCTGTCTCCTAAGAGAAACCTTCCCTGACAATCCCCTGCAACACTCTACTGTCACCTCACACTGACCCCAGGTCTCACACTGACCCCAGGTCTCACACTGACCCCAGGTCTCACATTGGCCCCAGGTCTCACACTGACTCCAGGTCTCATGCTGATCCCCAATTATTCTTTCTGGATTCATTTTCTTCAAAGCAGTAATCACTGTCTGATATTACACATATGTCTGTATGTCATCATATGGTTCCCTAATTCACATGTCATCTGTTCAAGAGCAGTTTTTCCAATTGTCTTGGTCAATCTGTATTTACACTTCCTGAAACATCATCTGGCAGAGAGTAGGAATTCACATGACAGCTAATTGAGATAATGAATGAATGAATAACAGCACATGTATATCATTAATAAACATCACAGAAATGCCAGAAGAAACTACCTTATTGGGAGAGCTGGTAGGTGTTTGAGAACTTGATTTTTGTCTTTAAGTCTTTCAGTACTATATGCTGTTAAATACTTTGTGCGTGAAGTACTTAGAATATAAAATCAAAACAAAGATTTAAAACAATAAAAATTGTTCCAAAGAGGCAAAGGCATATAACATGAATATTTAATTTTGGAAGCCACTGATGTGAAATTTTACTGACTCTAGATGGTATTTTACTCTCCTTAAGAGTTAAACCATGAAAATTCTCTAGGATAATTCTTTCTTTCCTGTTCTTTTAAAAGAGTAGTAGTGATGCCTACCTCTCCCGGCCATGAGCTCTTTCTTCCACTTGCTGCCCCACTTGATGCCCAGTTCCTGGCCGTACTCATCCCCATAGCAGACCAGCAGTTCACAGCCTGGATTAGTGACTCGGCAGGTTCTATAGAAGATCTGCCTGTGGTACTGGAAGGCCACCAGGTTCTGCTCTTCATCATCCCGGGCACAGTTCACATACCTGGGGTCAAGACAGGCAAAGGGAAAGAAAAGAGGCAGTGAGTTCCCAGTATCTGTCAGATCCAGGTCTGACCCATCACCTGCTGGTCTAGGCCTCCATGGTCTAGTGCTGACCACTCCCCCACCACTCCTCTGGGAACCTTCTGCTCATTCCTAAATCTCTTCCACAATGTCATATGAACTTGCACTTCTGACTACACTGCTCATCCTGCCTAGAATGCTTCTCTGCTGTGCCTAATTAGCCATTTTTTCAAAGCCCAACTCCAGACCTACCTCCACCTTGACTGGCCATAAAACACATTGACCTCTAGCTTCTCTAAACTCTAAATTAATTCTGTTTTATACACAGAGCTTGGTGCTGGATCATGTGCTCTGTTTCTAGATTAGCACACATCATTCTACACTCAGCCCAAGTCCATCTTTCTTGGATAGGCGTTCCTCTAATCACCCTACAGTTCACTCAGGTGCCATTCACCTGACTTCGCCAGATTCCCAGGGAAACTTAGAAGTCTTCTTCTCTTGGCCCAATAACATAGAACAGTAATAGTTGATTCGTTTCTCTATTCTCTGATAGAACGAGAGCCCATTGTGGAAAGGGGCTGGGTCATCCTGAAGCTCGCTTCTGTTCAAGTAGTGAACTTCACTTCCTAACCTGGAATATACTAAGTGCTTAATAAATGTGGATTACATATATTAAAGCATGAATTCAGTGTCCCCCGTGAATCTAGGCTTCTCAAGGTTTATCTTGGTGCCTCAATTTTGTCTAACATACATATTTATGTTTTGATATCAATAAATCATAATATCTATATTTTTGTTATTTATTTCTAAATGTTGACAGCATAAAACAGCATTGTATGGAGAAAAATAGAAATAGGGGATGTGAAAATCATTGAAGGAGGCATAATGAGAAAGAAGGAGATCCAGGTTTGTGAGAGATGAAGGTTCTGTCTGAAACTCAGAGAGCTACTGGCCTTACCTCCTCCAGTTGGCCCAGAATAAATCTTTTCCATCCACATACTCATAGCAGTTTCTCCCCTTGGTGATCTGAGTTTCAGAAAAATAAGGTAAAGCTTTTTAGAGGGTAAAAATCAGAAGAATTGTTTTACTCCACTGTCATCAATGGCCTTTGGGCCTGCAGAGCTTCAAATGCCAACTGAGACCACATGGCCTGCACCTTAGTCATCATCTGCACATCTCAGTTGGTTTGTCTAGTCAGCGCAGAAGCTCCACAAGGGAGGATGCACTTCTTTGTCTTTGTACCACTTTGTTCCCAGGTACCCTCTGATCTCTAAATAGGAGTTCCATGTTCATGCAAGGACCCTTGAGTACACAGAGCTAACCATGTTATCCATACCTATATCCTAACATGTAGAAGGTGATGTCTCACCAAAGGCACAGAAGGGATGTAGGAAGACAGAACAGGGAAACAGTAGGCTCTTCTTACCAGCCAGGAGTATCCATTGTTGGCTGCCTCTTCGTCTTCTGTAATTCGGCCCTCATAGGGGCCAAAGTGCAGACCCAGCGGCAGATCAGATGCCTCGTTCCATACTCCAAGCCCAGCCTGAGGGATGCCTGATGGCCCAATTCTCAGCCCCGGGGGCAGACTGAGGGCTGAACGGTTGGGATGCCCTTTGTTCACTGCATTGTCCTTTACAAATGTAGGGGGCCCATGAGCAGCACAGCTGTCAATGAAGAAGTTCTGACACGTCTCACAATCTGGAAGTGAGGGAAGCAGTGATTAGGAAAGTTATAATGCATGTTCCTCGATATAAGAGCTTCAGAAAGAGTTCGGTGCTCACATTATTTAGCCCCAATCTTGTACTCTAATTCGTTAGAGTGAAGGAATGATTTGTGGGCCAAATGATGAAATTATTGTACCAGGACATAACAGCAAGCTGTGAGAGTGGCCGAAAGGGCCGACAGAGGTAGTCATCATCCTGCAGCTCGCTGACCTCTTTGTATGCATGACCCTTTCTTTCTCTCAGGCTATACATCTTTCCTTCAGTCTCCTTCCTCCTGAGCTCTAGGTTGGAGAAGAGTAGATGGGTAAAATTGGGAGTCTGGAGTGTTCGTCCTTGTTTCATAAGAAAATGTGAAATCTCCTACCATCAAATTAGCATCTACCTTTCTACATACTCTAGTCTCCCCTTCTTTACAGCTTCAGAGAGACTTAGACCCCACACCTACACTGACTATAGATGCCTATTCAATTTTAGTTTCTGGCTGTTCTCATTATCCCATTAACCTCCCAACCTTTCTACTTACAAAATGGTTCATTCATGCATTTATTCATTTATAAAATATTTCTTGAGGGCACATTTCATCTTAGGTCTTGAAAAAAGGCCTGGGCATATAACACCAAGAAAGTATAATCTCTATCAGAGATCTTCTATAAACTAGTTGACGTGTGATGGGAGAGGAAATGTAGAACTGCACAAAAGAAGATCTATTATCAGAGGTATTTATTGGACGCCTTGCATGTATCAATTCATTTATATTTAATTTAATGATTTCAAGCAATATATGAGCTGTATATACTTGGTCTCATTTTACAGATTACATTCAGGAGCTCAGATAATTTATAAGATTTGCCCAAGGCCCCAGTGCTTCTATGTGGATTATAACTCAAGTGAGTGACCAAAGTTAATGTTCTTACATGCTATTCAATAGTGTATCCAAGGCTGGGCATGGTGGCTCAAGCCTGTAATACCAGAATTTTGGGAGGCTGAGGTAAGCAGATCACTTGAGGCCAGGAGTTTGAGACCAGCCTGGTCAATATGGTGAAACCCTGTCTCTATTAAAAATACAAAAATCAGCTGGGCATGGTGGTGCACGCCTATAATGCTAGCTACTTGGGTGACTGAGGCATGAAAATCGCTATTTTCATGGAGGCAGAGGTTGCAGTAAACCGAGATCACGCCACTGCACTCCAGCCTGGGTGACAGAGTAAGACTGTCTCAGTGAACAAATAAATAATTTTAACAAAATACTGCATCTAACTTCTGCTCTCACAGTTGAGTCCAGCTTAAACCCAGGCCTATCCAAAGTCCACCCCATATAGGTAGAACATACTCATCAACCTTTCTAGAGGACATAGAGGGACTAAAGTCCCCCCATGCTTTTTCTTACCCAGTTTTAGTCT